ATACCAAGGTATGGATTCCCAGAAAAAGTAAGATCAGACAACGGGACTCATTTTAAGAACAATGACCTCCAACAGGTGGAGGCGATGTTGGGACTAAAACACTCTTTTGGTACAGTCTATCATCCTCAGTCACAGGGCAAAGTTGAAAGAATGAATCAAACGGTAAAAAACAAATTGGCTAAAATCTGTGCACAGACCAAAATGAATTGGCTAGACGCCCTACCGTTAGCCTTAATGTCAATAAGAAGTTCAGTCAACCACTCCACAGGGTTCACACCACATGAGTTACAAACAGGGAGAGCGTTTCCCGGCCCACACTCCAAACTCCCTCTCACCCAAAATGATGATCAAGATCTAACTTCTAAAGCTTATTTCCACGAACTGCAGGGTTTGGTGTCTACATTTTCAAAACAGGTGAAGGACCAGCAGACCGCAGGAAAAGGCACAACACCTCCAGAGGCAGAGTGGGTTCTGCTCTGAGTCATCAAAAGGAAGTGGTCGGAACCACGCTGGACAGGTCCATTCCAGGTAACTAAAGGAACAACCCACGCAGTACGCCTGAAAGGAAAAGGAGACACTTGGTTTCATTGGAGCCAGTGTGCAGCAGCTGAGGAACCACAACGCTCCTTGATCGACATTCAGAGAACCCTCCAAGAACAGAACACCGAGTCGGCTGACTCGGAGACAGATCCTACCGACAAAGGGGCAAAAAAAGGGGCAAAAAAAAAAAAAAGTCTTCATGTATGCCATCAACATCTAGGAAACAGAATTCAATTTACATAAAACACCAAGCTCAGGCAGGAAGGTGTTGCAAACCTGCATATAGTAGCTGTGGTTAAGTCCTGACTTTAGTATACCTCTACAGAACAGGATGGAAATTGTTCACTGTAATCAATGTACAGATGAACCAGTACACACACGTGCACACGGTATGGTTGTATATACAACAGGCTCCTACCACAGATTGACAAATAAACCTGTGTTGGTGCAGCTACACTTTACCTTAAGACAGTGTTTGGTACTGATTCAACATGACTGTCAATCCCATTTGTAACACCAGGGTAACATAAGCCGTGGCTATCAAATTTTGTACTGAATAAATCACAGATGATTGAATTCATTATGAATTTTTTGGCTGGTGCAACTTATACTCTGGAGCAACTATACTGACAGATAAATGCAGGAACTAGATTGTTTTTTTCAACCAGGTGATTTAGTCTCTTCAACAGCAATCTGTTTCTTTCATCTCCTTTCCCATACACCTTCTCTCTACCGGCCTACAAAAGGAATGTGAACTTAATGTTGGCGCTGCTCTACATGCCTGCAGTTTTTGATGGTTTGAGTCAGTGTTGGTACGTGGTAAGTCTTCAGACATACTTACAGAGAATACAAATACAAAATACAGGAAAGAAAAAGTTACATTGTGTAGCACCTTTAATTCTATTGTTGTATTTTTAAGTCTGATGTCAATTCATTTCACAATTCATTTTTGTTTTGGGAGCATATTCAATATGTTATAACTGAATTATTTCTAAGCAGATCACTTTCCTGAACAGAACATGTCTCAACAAGATTGCGAGGCATGCAATTTCAAGACATCCACTCCGAATTTTGCAGCCAGATATCAGGCTGCAGAGAAATACGTCCGCTGTGTGGAAATATTACAAAGGACCGAAAACCACACAGCAACATATAATATTTGCAGAGCTGAAATTCAGAGAAGTGTAACCGTCTCTTCATACAATACCACTAACTTAATTAAACATAAAAAGTGTCACATCAAAGAGGACGTGAATGCGCCATGGGACAGAAAGACGTAAAGAACCATTGGAAGTCATTTATTTCATTCCAAAAGCAAGGTAAACTCCCGACAGATGAAGTACTGTATGTACTCGTACTCAGCTCAGTAACTCCAATGTAGCAGACTTTATTCCAACTGTGACTGTTTGAAGACTCCTGTTAGCTGAGGAGAGCTGCACTGAAAGCGAAGTAAAAACTGAAACGCACGCTCATCCTGGATGCGTAATACAAGGATAGGCGAGGTCCCTTTTTTATTAATGCTCCCATTATTATTATGTTTTCTAACTAAAAACAGTCATATCCTGCTTATTTTATCCATAATTTCGAACTCCAAGCTGTATAAACTTGACTGCTTATTGGATTTAATGCACATTAGGTGATGTGTATTTGTGTAAGGAGGGAGGGTGTGGCCTAAGAAGATGAACACCCTATATACAGGTGTGCATAATTAAAATGGGCCACAAAAAGAGATTTAACTGACTCTGAAAAGTCAAAAATGTAAAAAGTTTTTCAGAGGGATGCAGCACTCTATCTAAGATATTGGGGTGTGATCACAGAACCATCAAATATTTTGTTGCAAATAGTCAACAGAAACGTGTCGAGAAGAAAAGACGCAAATTTACCACCAAAGATTTACAAAGAATCAAACATGAAGCTACCAGGAACCCATTATCCTCCAGTACTGCCATATTCCACAACTGCAACGTACCTGGAGTGTCAAGAAGTACGAGGTATTCGGTTCTCAAAGACACCAACCACCTCCAAACAAGACACATAAG